GTGCCTTACACTTACCAAATAATGAAATGTATGTCTTGTTGAAGAAAATCAGGTGCTGCTCTAAAAGAGCAAACTGGCTCAGGCTGATAACAGAAAGAGGACTCACCAAATTACAATATAAGAATAACATATAAAATGCTCAGTGTTGCACTGTCTTCACAGCCACCTTCCAAGCAGTCTTTATGCCACAACTCACAAAACCCAGAAGTACAGAAACACCACCAGAAGAATAATGCAACCAACTGCTGCTTTCATGTACATTGACTTGGTGTTAAGGAATGTAGCATCTTTCTTGTATTTCTGGGACAAAATTGACAAATTCTGGGCTTTAGTGTCCAGTTCTGAAACAAAGCAACACAGTACTTAAGAAAAACCAAGTCACCTTCTTCCTGTGGCTCTACAACCCAGTGTGGTTCTTGGCCGCCTCCTTTCGGAGGTTTCTTAGTCTTTAACCTTTATCTTACTAGCGTTCCCAGTCTGGGACGTAAGTTGTGTACTCAGCCCTATGAACGTTCCCGATGCGGAACAAAAAACTTGCAACATTGTAAGTACACTTGGCTACGTCTTTTGGCCTCTTTTAGGGGCTGCAAATATTGAATCACTTTCTCTAGGGTTCTGACAAGTTCAACCTGAGCTGTCGACCCAGGAAATATAACCATAAACAGCAATAAACATTGTTATTGTCAAGTGAGTTTCGGCTTCGTTTTCAGACCCCCTATTCAAAGCTACTCACATTCCTCGGCATGATCTGTGAAAAGAATGTGTATCCACTGAAGTAGGGGAAACAAATATTTCTGTGCAGTCATTAGTTCACAACCATGGCTTCTACCATGTCGAATGAGCTTCCAAAGAAGAAAGTAAAGTTACTAAGGCCTATTTAGGCAATGAAGATATTAACTGCATTTTTAAAAAACTCTATGAATTCTCTGTTCCATTCAAATAAATATGACTTTTATTTTGTCAATTTATCATGTTTACTTTAGATAATATTAAAGTTTTCCGTAGAGTGTGCACAAAAGTTTAATAAACCTGCAAAAAAACTCTGTAGGGCAGCTACCACTTTGCCATTTAAATCCCTGTCATTTAAAGGCTAAAGTGTGCATTTGTGAGTAGTGAGTGACAAGCCCACTGCCTCTGCATAACTTCTACTCAATCCTTATTTTGTCATTTTGACATGTATTTAAGAAATATGAATTGGCATGTGTATCATATTTTGATTAATTTATTTAGAAACTAAGTTGTCCATGTAAAAGTGAATCCATACTACTCTGAGACATTAGCAATGACTTACTGTTACCTGATAATAAAACTCCTCTCTGCAAAACATCATCAATATTATGAACCATTATCCTCTGCACATCTTGTAACTCTGTATTAAGAGATGAAAGGTTGCGACGAGCTCGTGAATCTGTGAATAATTTCTTGGCCTTCTGAATGTAAGTATCTGAAAAATTGTGCATACTGTAAGTTACAAAATAAAGTAACATTACCACTTCATAAGTTCTTTGCAAATATGTTCAATTTAACTTTTCATTCTTACCAAATTCAATAAAACTGTAGGGCCTTGTTACTGTATTCACTTTCTTCCCATATTGTGAGTGGAATTCTTGAGCTATGTCTTCAAGGTATGAAAATGCAAGTCTTTTTGAGTAGTTCTTTTCTGCTAATACAAGGTAGCACACATCATTTTCGATAAGGTAGCTGCAAAAATTTGAAATACAGAAAAACCAAAAGATCTCAGATGATACAAAAAAATAGTACGGAAATAAAAAGATTGCTTTCAGAGATCAGTAAAATACATCAGATTTATATAAACACTTACTTTAAAAAAATTGTCAGTTAAAAGAGACAATCTCTACCTCTAATAATGGAAGCACAGTCTCTGGTACACTGGATTATAATGGCATTCTCACATGGCTAATTGGCCAAGAAGACATTACATTCAGCAGCCATGAAAGCTTCAATTCTTACTGTTATTCTGCCACATTCCAATACAACAAAAGCGAAAAAAATTGTTAATGACCAAAAATGAAATTGAAACTACTTACTGAAACAAAAATGGTCCTGTTTCTATACTGCAACGGGGCGGGCTTGAGGTATTAAGCTTACGGAATAGCAGTTTAGCTTGATTTTGGTACTCCAGTATGTTTTTCCCCGACTGCAACAAATTTAATCATCTCCCTACAAATGATATACATTACACGACAACAAAAAAGCAATGTCATATGAGCAAAATATCGATGTAACGACTGCTACAAATCTAACCTGTTCATCATCCTGCATAGTCGCTGCTAAGGGCAAGCCGTCTGCTATCCTTGCAATCATAGTCAATAAAACCATTTTACTACGTGTTCTGAAGAGACTTCAGCAAATATTGCCTTTCTAATATATTATAACACAAAATATCATTTGAGGGCAACACAAACTGTCCAACCAACAAACATATGTAGCGCTTTTCCTATGTGGCCAATGATGAAACTAAAATCTAATCGACGTACACGTCATGACATATCATCATGCACCGCAGTGCCATGGGTTAAAGTGGTATTTTGTGTATGTTGTGTTAAGTTGCACAACCACGGAGTAAAAAAAGTTACAGTGGAACCACGGTTCCGGAGAATTTGACGTAAATACGTCTCTGTATTTAAATTATATTTACGCCTCTGTAATGTAATTTAATGTAATGTAAAGTAATGTAATGTAATGTAAAGTTATCTTCAATGTCATCCATCTTGTTACAAAAGCGGATTGTTGACGTCAGTAATGTAACACAACAATGCCGAGTAAACATATGATTCCTAGCTAACATAACAATGCACGTAAGCTGACCATTGTTGTCGGTCCATATTTACACATTGTTGTCGATTTTTGATAGGGATCTTACACATTTTTCTGTCACTTTTTCGTAACACTTTTTTGCGGAATGACCCTTCCATATAGACGTATTTACGTCAAAAACCAGAGAACAGAGAATAATGCTTAAACAGCCTTGTTCATAACCATACATAACCTACGCTAATATGATACACTAGCCTGTTATTCGCCCGGGTGTTTTTCAAAATAAATAATACAGACTGATACGTACATTTTTTGCACAAACACAGGTCAATATGCAATAGGCATCTCAGACTTCGACTTACACCTGCGTTCCCAAATAATAACATAACAATAACTTACCCATTAATTAAACTGAGAAACTACATTTTAAGCAAGATAATATGATAAACATACGAGGTGCGATCGGAAAGTTTCAAGACTGTGTCAATAGAGGGCGAACCGGATGTAGTACGAGCTTCTGCCGCTAGGGGGTGCGGCCTACATTCATAGTGAATCAGTGTGCCAGCCGGCATCATCGAATTAGCATTTGTTTCTTAGTTACGGGCGTTTTGGTAGTGCATTACAGCGACCCTCCTGCGATTTCGGAATGGCGGATTTTCATGAACAAATCAAATTTTGCCAAAGACTCGCCAAAACGGCTACGGAAACCTATGAAATGCTAAAGCAAGCATTTGGGGAAATACTTCGAAATGGGTCGTGCACAAACTTTTGTGTGGCATTCACGTTTTAAAAAGGGCCGAACCCCTGTCGATGATGACGAGCATTCTGGACGACCATCTTCGAGCACAACGCCCGAAAATGGTACGAAGATTCGGCAGGCCATTCACGAAGATCGACGTCGTACCATCAACGACTTGTGCGACATTGTTGGGACCTGTCAGCTGATTCTAAAGGAAGAACTCCACATGCGACGCATCGCAGCCAAGTTTGTGCCAAGGCTCCTGTCTGAGGACCAGAAGCAGAATCGACTTCTCGTTTGTCAGGAGCTAAAAGATCTTGCAAGAACCGACCCCAACTTCCTTTCTAAGCTCCGTGTGACTTCTTCCTCTTCCCAAAGATGAAAATTCAGCTAAAGGGAAGGAGATTTGAGACGATAGAAGAGATTCAGGCAGAATCGCAGATGGTGCTTGACAGGCTGACAAAGAAAGATTTCCAGGGATGCTTCCAGGCTTGGCAGCGGCGCTGGGATCGTTGTGTTCACTCCCAGGGGAACTACTTCGAGGGTGATGGATGAATGTAATACCTGAGATAAGTGTACGGGTTGTTATACGCGCAGTCTGGAAACCTTTCGATCGCACCTCGTATATAAGGTCGGAAGGAAGTGTATATTTCACACTTTCAACAATCTTTCGTCTCATGTTTTTAGTAAAATTTTGCATATTTACTTCCATGCAGAATTCCAGCTATCCATTCGTAAGACACATGTCTTCTTAAACGTCTCTCCTTTCATTTCACATGCGGTTGTTGACAGACCAAAAGTATCGGTTACCATTAATGCCAGGATGCAAGCTTTTAACAAGCACTGATGAATGTTCCATTTGCTTTCTGTAATATGACAAAAAAAAAAGTTAACTAATGTTGATAGTTTTAACTGAAATTGCTTATTTATAAAATAAACACACACACAAAATAATAAATCCATTTTGTTTGTCATCTAGTGACAGTTTATTTTACAATACTGTAACAACTGCTGAGATTTTGTAACTAGTCATTTAACACAATTATTGTATTCACTATATAAGACAAACAAGTGAAATTGTGTTCATGCCAATACATCCACGACTGCGATTGATTCTATACAAGTTTATTTTTATGAGCTTGATAATATGTAACACAGCCTCCTGACTTAAATACAGTTGATGGATGATGCCATGCATCCCACATCCATTAGAAATAAAGAGCAAGGTAATCAGAGGGATAGGATGGGCAGCAGGCAAGGTAGCATACGCTGACAAAACTATAAACATTATTTCTCAGTGGAAATACTATGTGGCTCGTCTTAGGTAACATTTTGTTTTGCTTCTACCCACAAGCTAGTTACATGCATAGTGAAACATACAGTTTGGTCCAAACCACAGTCCCTAGAAATGCTTAACATAATTAACCTTTCTCTTGCTTTTTCTCTTTTGGTTTGAACCTGTCTAGAGCATTAAATGTTTTGTGTTTTACTGATGCAATACAACTCTCCACTTCTTGCGAGGATGAAATTTTATCAATGCCAGTTTCTTTCAAGGTCTTGACAAATTCCTGAAACATTACAATGATTAGAGGTATTAACATCTTACAATGAACATACAAGTGAAAGTTTAAATTATACCATGCCTAAAAATTATGCTCTGGAGGCCTGGATGTGGTGTATTAGATGGATGTAAGTTGCCACTTCATCATGGGACTCATGCATTTTGTGTGTGTGAAATCAAGAAATAAATTCCTGGATGGATGTTACCTATTAGCCACCATGAACAACTTTTTATATTTGCAAGCATATTCAAGTAATTAAAATATACTATGCATTAACTCAACATGTTTCCTTTTTTTGGGGTGCAATCAACATCTAAGCTATTAAAGGTTTCCATTGAAAATTCTTACTATTACTATAATATTACACAATTAAACTTTTTAAAAATGTAATTTAAAATAAAATGTTTGTATTATTATTATAACCAAAACTAATTTCCATGTTCTATGATACAAACAACAAAATTTATCAAAAACACATGAAGCGAGAATTTTAGACATAACAAAAAACCTTATAGCAAAAACAAAATTTATTTATCAGGAGGCCTGTAGGACATATATACACAGAGTCTTATGTATTTCCTGCAGAGATGAATGACAGGAAAACACTTTTGACTATAAAAATAATCTCTCTAAACAAAGCAAACAACAGAGTACATACCCTCCTTTGTCCCTCCCGGACAATTCTCTTCGTCTGTGCCACTTTGACAGTGCCTTTCTTTTTACCACTCTTATTACGAGGCTGGAAATCAATTTTTGGTGGTTTCAGGAACTGTAACAAAACCATATCATAATTAGAAACTAAACTCTTGAATAAAGTTAGACAACATGCAATAACTTCATTATTACTGCTCATTTGAAATGCTCATGGGTGCATTATATTATATCACATCTCTTTGATTTTAAGACACTATCAATTGTAAGATGAAACCTTGATTTAGTAACAGGTTTTCAGGAAAGACAATGCTGTATGGATTCTTAGACATCATCAAATGAAAGACACACTCAGATATCAGAAATTTTGAAATGTGAAATGTGTCTTAAAATTGAGGAAGCACAATATTTACCATAAAATATTCTATGCATTAACCCAACATGTGTCAGTTTTAGAGCAATGAACCATTGTTCTGAACCAAAATTTTGGTAGTGAGTTTTAAAATACAAAGGCAAAATCTCAATGGAACACAGTTTTATATTTAATACAATTGATTATAACATAATGGGAAAATAAAGAATGGTACGCATATGTAAATTATAATTAACAGGTTCAAATCCTGAAATGTGCTTACATCCTACACCATGGAACACAGTCATCAAAAAACAAGTTCAAAAAGACACTGTACAGTGGATTCCAATTAATTGGGACACATCGGGACCACTCTGGCCCAATTAAGAGGCTGCCCCAATTATGCAAAGTTCCACGTAAAGAGTTAAAAAGATTTGTTCTTTAAGATTTGCCCCAAATAAACAGCTGCCCCGATTAACCAATGGCCCAATTAAACGGAACCTACTGTATATGATTTTAATAAACCAGGATTAGTTTTTGTGATAAATGTAAAAAATAATACTAGATGAAGATGTCTTTCCACAAAAAAATATCATTCTGCTCACATAATAAAATGTATTTGCTGCCTGAATGGCAACAGTATTTTAATATGTACCTGTTATCAATTCAAAATGCAAATGAATTTTATTGGTAATGTATGATTGGTACTTATCCTTGTCAAAATATATACTCAGTACTGCACTGAAATTAATTGATTTTACATGTTTTAATATATAACTGATGAAAACTTCTAAACAGACTGCAAGCAACAAGTACAGATATTCACAGTTGATTATTTTGTGGGGCAGGTCATTCATTCTATAACTGTCATATGCTTAAATAAAGGTAATGATTAAAAGATTCCTTTGTTTATTGTTGAAGAAATTAAATTTACAACTTACGAGCAGTTTTTTCTTTGCTTCCACTTTATCTTTAAGTGTCGGAATGTGAACGTCTGTTATTACTGTTGGATCCAATGTTATGAATTCAGGTTGAATCTGGAACAGAAAATTAACATCACGCATATATATCTTACACATTAAACATTCTGATATACTTTATTTTTCAAAGTTAAAGGCTAGATTAAATTATACTACATGGCTACAGTACATAGCAAAAAGAAAATCACTTTTCAAAGCAATATAATATAATCCTGGTAACAAACCATGGCATATTAAGAACACAGATGAGGACAGACTGATACAATCAACAAAATCCAAGCAAAGGGAAGATAAATTTGTTCCTGTGCCCACACACTATGCAATGCAAGCATATGGCAGGGGGAGGTAAACCTCTATACACAAAGTGCAGCCATTATACACCACATGAAGGAGGCCATGACAATCTCAGAGACAGTGCATCCATTCTGACAAACAAAAATCCCTGGCCTTCCAGCCAGTCATTTTACTGGCTCATCTGCTTAATCTCACACTTTAAGACTAATATTATATTCACAACTGTAATGACTGAAACAATATGGGCAAATAAAATGTTCAGTCACACTCTTAGAGAAAGAATAAATAATTTAAAAAATCGGAAAACACAGCCAACTGATGCAGAACTAGCAATGGCAGCATAAGCCTCGAGAATGAAGATCAGAAAAATGGGATAAAATGGAAATTAAGAAGACAGAGCGGAATGCATACATAAAAATAAATATCTCTAACAGAATTTCTTTAGAAATCTATTTCATCACTTTCTAATAGCTTGCGCTTGCTTCTATGTCTCAGTTCACAACAAACCTACCTTCTCTAACAGTGACTTCACCTCAGCTTCTCTTCTTTGGGACTTGCTCTGGAAGGGATTACATTCCAAAGCATCAAAGTTTGGCTCTCCACTTCCTAGAATTCAAAATATGAAAATAACAAATGTCAAAAGGGCAATCAAGTTAACCAAAAATTTTTGTAACTCCTTTTCACAGACATTCACAGTCATTCTAAATAAAAGTGGCATATTAAAATTAGTCATGTGCTATTTGAAAATTACTTTCATTTATTTAAAGTTCCCAGCTTTTTATAGGGTACTTTCCATTTTGAGTAGAAAAAGTCAAACTCCCTACAAGTATGTAGTAGTCAGACTTCACTGCAATATAAAATGTATGTCATTTGTATTACCTGGCAAGAGTACTTCAGGCCAAAGTGTTGAAAGTTTTAAACAAAATTTGATGCACAGTTGAAGTACAAAAAGTGTTACATTTCCTACAGCTTCAACATTTCTGTGCATGACCGCTGAAATTATGCCACAAAGAATCCAAAGTATATTCATTTTTCAAACCAAAAAAAAGGGGGGGATTTCCTTGAAATCTGTTAGTCAATTTATCATTATAACTTTTGACATTTTGACACAAAATCTTACCAGGAATAATCAAACTAGTGAAGCCATTATCGGTTGCAACTCCTAAAACATCTTCATAAGGGCAGTATTCCATATTTCCAATTCTCTTAAACAATCTGTGCCTCAAGTACGGGCGGTCAGCTGATTTCTGGCAGCAGTCCCTGTAAACCTAAAGATAACGTTATATGAAATAAGTTGCAATTCTGCTCATAAGTGCCAGGTTAGTCTGTTAACTCACATGTAAGTTTTCTTTAACCCCTTACATCAGTCATGCCACTTGCTAAAGTGAAATTCCTGTTTAAGGTTCCTTGAGAGGATAAAGGAATTGAAAATTGGACACTTCCATAATTTGGTTCAGACATCAGACAATGAATATATCTGAACTTAAATCTAATTCCATTTGGTTAATATCCAAAATCAAATCATAACTGTTAGATATAATGAAGTGCAATGATTGTACAGAATATATAAAACATACTGTTTGTACCTCTACAACATTGCCCATTCCAACAGCTAATAAACCTCGCTGACTGAATGCAAGATTGGATGCAACAGCATGAAGCTTATACTGTTGTAAGGGTCCCTCCAGTTTTCGGACATCCCATACTTTCAATGTTCTGTCCACTGCAGCTGTTGCCATATACCTAAAGAAAACAATGAATAAGTGAGCGTGTTATCGTATATTCCATGGGGAATTGGCATCCTACTCACTCTAGGAGAGAAGGCATTTAGCTATAAAGTCTTGGAAATGCAATATTTTGCTTAAAATACAATAAATATTAAAGAAATAATACTATTTTTCACATTTTCATGCTACATTCAGGGATGTAAACAAAATTAGAATATCAGTACCAAACTGTTTTAAAATTACTTTTGGCACATTAAAATTTGTAATCTTAAGATCAGAATCTCTCTTGGAACTAAGTCACTCAGCTGGTCAACAAATTCCCCCACCTTTTACAGAACATGAAAGTTCACTATTATGGTCAGCCACTGAAGTCAAATAAATCCAGTTAACACCCTTACACTTATTACCTATTTCTTTAAGATCAATTGTTAATGTTATATTTCCATGTATATCTACATCTCCTAAATAGTCTCTTCCCTCTCCAAGTTTTCCAATTAAAACTGTGTATTCATTTCCCATCTCTCCCATGTGTGTTACATGCCCAACCCTCCTCATTCTCCTTTGATTTGGTTACTCTAACAACAAACTCTGAAGAATACAAATGATAAAGCTCACATTTCACAATTTTCTGTAACCTCCTGTTATGTCTTCTCTCTTAAGTACAATAATATTCCAAGTATTATAGTCTCAAACATCTTCAATTTATATTCTCCACATCCATACAACATGCAAAATTATATATTCATCTTGCATTTCTATATAAGACAAGTAGATTCTGAACTAAACAGTACCAACCATTTTCAGAATTTAATCTGCTCTTGTAGGATTTAAGAGTTCCATGACAATGTGTGTATAGATAGTGGTCTTTTGGATTGTTGAGATGTTAAGTCTTCTGACTGAAAATCAACATCCTCGAGAAACACACAGGCTCCACTGGTATACAGCCAAAAACCTACATGACACCACAATCTTGAAGCCCGCCATTTATAACATGCACTTGGTATTTTCATGTGCATAATTTCAATTTATTACTGTCCTTCCCAAATAATTGGATCTTACCACATTTTTAAAGGAGTTACGTAAATTTACTTACCGTCCTTGAGAATCAACTGTAAGGCTCTGCAAAGGATGCTGATGACACAACATTTTGGACAATGGTTCCTTAACATTTGGACTCCACATTGTCACTATACCTATACAACAAATAAGAATCTATAAAAAATCTAACCAAACCAGATTCAAGGGTTTATGCCTGGGACTGAAAAGCAACTCATAAGTCATAATACAACCTTCAGTTTTTTCTGTTAAAATAAAAACTTCACTAAAAATAAAACTGGTTGAACTGTACATCAAATCTTAAAACCAAACTGCCACATACAATGTACAATGTGGGCAGATATTAGTGGAACATTTAAAATGCTACATATGATCTGTCAACATTTCTGTTTCCAACAATACAAGGATTTTCACCAATTAAAACTAAATAGCATACTCACAGTAATGTTGTCTGAATGGAAACAGGAAGAAACGTATCTAGTACTGTGTTATAGCAGAACATTCTCACTTTCTTAGGTCTGTATTATCATTTATGTTTGACAGTAATGAATGATTATTGATTTAGATTATGTATTGTTAAAACAACTGGTAAATTAACTAACTCTAAGAAGCAGAGTTCTTCTTGAGACACTATGAAGATTCTCTGCTATATTCACAACAGCCTGCCATTGAATCCTAGCCAGAGATAAATTAATTCAATCCACACCCAATTTTCTTAAGATAAATATTCCTGTCAGTTATGACTAGAACTCCATGTGATGAGTTCTACTTTTACTTCGTATGTTTTGGTATTGCAAGTGCAACTGGTCATTTTATGTAATTGACATTGGCCGTTTGGTTACACGGAATAATGAAGACTGAGCACAGGAGGTGGTGCCACATGTGATTACTGGAGTCTTGAATTTTCAATTCTGCCTGGATTACTGAAGATACAAGCATATAAAATAGGTATCATATAAAGTTCTATATCTCTTTTCATCACCTCTTTGCTAATCACATCACTAAAACTTTATCACCTCTTCTCACAAACATGTAGTCCCTAAAAACTTTTTTCATCATCTCTTTTTCTAAATGCATGGTTTACAAAACTTTTTCCAGCACATTTTCCTGACATCACAATTATTAAAAATTTTCTCATCACCTCTTTTTGAAACCATGTGAAAACTGAAATTCATTTTCTTCACCTCATTTCCTGAAAAAACATCACATGCAAATATAACCAAATATCTTACCTTTTGAATGTCCAAGGCACACAACAGCATTGTATGGATTGTGAGTCATCAAATTCAATCGTCCCATTCTGGTATTGAACTGAGACACCATCTGACCTATGGAGATATCCAGCCAGCTGAGGAACCCTTCTTCACTCTATCGACACAATATATCACACTTATTGCAGTAAAAAGAGAAAAAGCTATCTGAAGATATTTATGAAAAACCTATATTAAGAATCTTTTATAACACTTTTCCAAATTCTAGATATGTCATTGTAAGAAACATCTACTATACATTTCCAACATCTATTAGAAAGTTTGTTTAATGAACTTTACATTACCGCAGTAGCAAGAAGAAAATGGTAAGGCAAGAACTCCATACGAAGAACTTTACTTAATCTCTTGATGCAGTGAAGTTCAATGCCCTGATTGTCATATATATACAACCACTGTTTCTGTGCAACTGCAAACATTGTCTCCACATGTAACCATCTGGAACAAATCGTGTCCTCCTATTTAAAAGACTGATTGCTAGCAAGTCTTACAGATGTAAATTTGGAAAATAATTCAAAAGTTACAAAATAATTTCTATAAAAATAAAGTCATGCACAATTTTATGAGTCTGTTCAATTGTATCAGTTCAAGATTTAAAGTAAGAACCATAAATTTAGTCTATGCATTTCATTTATTTCATATATTACAAAATCTTTTCATAAAGTGCATAATAGTGAGGACATATTTAATTAATAATACCACTGTAAAGATTTTGTTAAAATTTTATATTAAGAGTCTACACTAACATATGACTTGGAAATTTAATTTTGACCTGTATCTGTCAAATTAACCCCTCCTCAAATTTTATAAAAAAATACCTCATTTGTAAATAAAATAAAAGGAAACAAAATAACACATACATCTAATTTTAAGTTTTACATTTTTAAAACACAGAAAATCATAGAAAGCAGAATAAATAAGCATTTATGACTCTGTGTAGTGTAAAAAGCTTTGCAGTACTGTTTGTCAGTAATATCCCTTTTTGCCTCTCCAGGTCTTAGTACATCATTCACTCATTCAGTTGAATTCTGGCTCAAGAAAACAGAGGAGAGCTGATATCCAAGTGAGAACATTTATATGCATCATAAACAATAGATTTAAATCAGCAATAAATAAATATCAAGGGCAATGAGGTTGCCAAATTGCAAGGAAAAATAATTTCTGATTCTATAATACATGGTATATAAGGTCTTGCTATTAGTATTCATAATGGAATGAAAATGGGTTCATGAAGACTTGGAAGATGTTATTCAAAACAGATATCTAGTTTCCACAAAAACCAGTTCAGTAAATTTATGTTAAAGTGCCCTAATCTGAACCCAGAAAACAGTAATTTATTATATATTTCTGAAACCAATGAATCAATACATCCTGGATCAAACCATCTACAGATTTAATACAGTTGTAAGTCAAATGGCCACTAACATGTATATTTTACAATGGCGAAGCATTGACTTAAAATTCACATCATCTCCATGAAGATCACAGGACATATTCCAGTAAACTTAAACAAAATAATATGTCCAACTGTGGTGTACTTGCATTGTAATGGCATTCACTACCTGAACAGTACTAGGAAATTTACTGGGATATTTTTAATATAATTTAAAATCTCTCTAAAAACATGTCTTTCTTCTTAATCTTCACCTGTCTTTAGCTACTTCACTGTCATGGTTAGCATCAGTATTTACTGTGCATGCTTTATCAGTCTAATATGTATTTAATGACAGTTTCTTGATTAGTAAAACAGTGAACTGAAACCTCTGGACTTACCTGTTATGTCTAAATTCCAATCTGACTTGTACTTTTATTTTTTCAAATAAGGAATAGTTCTCCGGAATGAGATATAATGAGACCTATATTAATATTGTGACGTGTTGCCGTGAGAGCACGTTACAATATTTTCAATTTCCTGTAGCCTATTTCAAAGTATTCTCCCAGCACAAACCAACAAATATCATGAAAAATCTCAGTAAGACTATCTGAACCCTTGTGACAAGAACTGAAAGGAAAAAAACTTACCACATACAGTATAATGGTTATGTCAATTGTTACTTACTGTACATCATAAACTGCCTCCATAACATTCACTTCACATAAGAGACGCTTTGTTACCCAATCTATAGCAGCAACATGTCCCCTCCTTCCTCCTATAAGGAGAAAGCGGCCATTCCGACTATAGTTCATCCTAATTAACAGGATAAAAACAAAATTTAATTAACCTATATAAGCATATACCACATTTATGATTTCAAATTGTCATAACAACATGAAACAAATAAGGTTCCCATATACTGAAGATGACCATCTTCTGGGATGTTATGACAAGTAGTCTCATAAGAATTTCCCATACTTCACTCAACAATATTGTACCAATTATGGACACTATTTAACATAAAATGAAGTGAAAGGATTATTAGGTAACAAAGTTTAGAATGGGCAATGGAGGAAGCTAAATTAATGACCACTAAGAAAACAATCTGTCTACAAATTTGATAAATCTGTTACACTGTAATTACCTGTAAGGTCCAAACTCTGCCAGATGTAAATCAAAGTGTTTTGTTGCACTAGCAATATCTACAGAAGATGCAATTTGCTGTTGGCTGAATTGTGTAGTTAGCTCATCTTCATCTGCCACCAAAAACCTAAAACCCATTGTAAGTTACAAATGCTGTAATTAAAATGCAACAACAAAATGTATGAAGATTGCTGTCTTCTGGGTTGTTGCACTGCAAAAACCTCAAATCTTACAACAAAATGTACGATGGTGGGATGAAAAGAATAGTTATCCAATACATTCAAGTACAAACTTAGTGAATGCAAAGTTCTTTTCATAAAAGTTCTTCTCTTAGTATTAAATCAAGAAGAACATAACAGTGGAAAAAGAAAAATATATACATATTTGTCAGAAAGCTAGAAACGAAGATATTTTCACAGACTGTCATACACAGGGGTATAATATTAAAATTAATCTTAGAAATATATGTTGTGGAAATGCATACTGGATTGAATTTGTTCAAGCTTTATATATTTCTTGAATTTTAATTTTAAGGAATTAGATTTTTATATTTTCTACTATCACTGGCATAGTTGTTAGCCTCCAATATAGGCAGCAGTTACGAACTGCAATACAAAATTGGAGGATCAGTTCTGCTGTGCTCCTATTTGAAACACAATTTTCATTTTACTGTCAGCCTAACCAATCTTGGTACCACAACAGACAATGTTTATAACTAAATGGAGTACTTTTAATTGGCCTGTATATGCCCTTGGAATAAACACATTTAATGCTGCTTCTTCTTAAGATCAATGGAATAGATAAAGTGTGTACAAAGCTTATACAATTTAATAAAATCTTCACATATCACCAAAATATTTCACTTACCCACTTTCTTCTGGTAAAAGGAGTTCTGCTCTTGCTGCCTGTTCTATAGAGAACTGAATATCTGCTTCATGTTTCTTTAGCTTCTTTTGATAGAATTTAGTTTTTATTCCATCGCCAGACAAACCTTCTCCACGACTGTGACGAGCCAATTTCTCATCTTGGACAGGGACACGTTTTGATTTCCTGGTCCATGGTGGCTGTACCTTGGCTGCTGCAAGCCTATCATCTTCATGATTTCTACCTCTCCATGGCTTCCTTTTATACTTCACAACTGTTACCAGGGCTTCTAATTCACTTTGGGATTTCTTTATAGAAGGCTTCTTTTTGCTTCTTTTATGTGTTTCTAATTTTTTAGATGCACTTTCATTACAGTTATCCTGAGGCTTTTTCTTATTCTCTCGACAATCCTGGTTTAAGAAATACCTTGTCATCTGGAAAGTAGACATTTAAGTAAAGTTTTTAAAGGTTTTGTATCATGGAAAAGCAGCCATGTGCTCCACTGTTTCTCAAAAACATTAGACAGTAATGGTAAATTACTTGCACATATAATTAAGATAATTGCAAAATGACCATTACTTGGTACTCCTAATGACTGTAAAGTGTAAATTCTAAAGCCACTCATAGCAGCTGAAATATTTTAGCATACTACCATAAATATGCCAAACATCATTCAAGTTAGATGTTACAATGATTCAACCGCTGTTACACAAAAATACTCTGAATGGTCATATTATTCCTTTCCATGTTCCTAATTTTTTCTCTTAACAGAAGATGCATATTCTTTAAAAGGTCTGCATCACTGAATGGTGTCAATGCTATTCACATTCCATATGTTGCTACTGTTAAAGAAAACGGATACCAACATGATCCCAAGTTTCACAAAAATTAGTCAGTCATTGTCACATATCAATCTATGTAACATAATCAAGAGATGGTCATGCACACAGGTGAACGAACACACACTCAGATCAACAGATGATAAGAAAACTGAAAAAAAATTCCCTTTACACACAAAGCCACAGGTGAGCAAAATACTGTAAACAAAAATTTCAAATTGGTTAAGTGGTAATGTTCATGTATTAAAAGTGCATATTAATAATATGGTTCTCAAACAAATTTTACTTTCCGTATGTACTCAGTGCTAAAAAAACCCTGTAATTTAGAGGGTTCAAGAACTTGATGAAAATTAATGTTTGAGTCTCTAGTGCATGTATGTATCTTTACAAACAAGTATGAAAAACTTGAGTGAGATACAAAAACAAATGATAACCATTAAACAATTTCTTATGTACAAAATCATTCTCATGAGACCTAGGTCCCATGGCCACTTCTAAACACCATACCTTACACTCAAGCAAAAATAATTGCCTGCAAATGCTCTAAGTTCATGTTCTGAAGAACCATTATGTTACAGACTCAATTGAGAGTTTTCAGTACATGTTCAATGAAATCTACAAAATCAGAACAGTTAATCTGTGAAGGTAAATCATGAAATATTCAGATGTATATTAATAACCCATTTGTGGAGGATGAAGTGTTATAGTTGAACAGGCTACAGTTAGGTAAGTAAAGATATTTATCTCAAATTTGGTAACAAAAACGGAACTGATGAGGATATTAGGATGACTTGTACAATAAGTAGTTATTCCTCTTGCTTTAAGAATCCTTTGCGATTCTTGTAAAACGACTGGAGCTTGTGAATCTTACTGTCTACTGGTGGCCCTCTGCTTTGACGCCGTAGGTGGTTAACAGATGGAGGTGATACGTTCTTCCGAAATGCTGGCAACCTCCTACGACACTAAACAGCTTCACAATCGTCAACACCACAATTCGAGCCAGAAATTACGCGTAATATTCTCTACTATTCGCAATACAATAGCTCAGCACTAGATAAGTTCTGTCTTTGGCCACTTCTAAATTCCTTCAGCTACGTCTCGTGCAATACAGTGATCCATCTTAGCAAAATATTATGGCTCGCACAGCACGTTGACAAGACCTGTATCATAAGCAGATTTCTAATACTACTGGTAACAGTACGTTGTGTTTTTTGGTTATAGCTCTCCAACACCACGCGGTACAACTACATACAACACGTACCACAGGTTATTCTAACAGTTTGCTAACTTCTGGCAACAGCACTCGTAGAAACACCACAGTTCACAGATAATAAAACAACATAGAACAATCAGCTGAAGTAAACACAGAAAAAAATACGTATATGTTGTCTTGTCATCAGAATGCAGAGCAAAATTATACCACAAGGATTGGTAATAGAAACTGAGAATGTGGCAAAGTTCAGATATTTGGGAACGACAGTAACAAATCAAAATTTGATTCATGAGGAAATTAAGAGCAAATTTAATTCGGGTAATGCTTGTTACATCCCGTTCAGAACCCTGTCTTCTCGTCTGCTGTCAAAAAACGTAAAAATTAAAATATACAAAACTATAATTTTACCTGTAGTTTTGTATGAGTCTGAAACTTTGTCTCTGACATTAAAGGAGGAACGTAGACTGAGGGTGTTTGAGAACAGGATGCTGAGGAGAATATTTGGACTCAAGAGGGATCAAATACTAGGAGGCTGGAGAAAGTTGCATAATGCGGAGCTTCATACTCCTCGAGGGCATGTAGCAAGCATGGGAGAGAAGAGGATTGCATACAGGGGTTTTTGCGGGAAAACCAGAATTATCGAGATCAATAGGAAGACCTAAAAGTAGGTGGGAGTATAACATTAAAGTGGTTTTTAGAAAAATAGGATGCGGTGGTACGGACTGGGTTCATTCAACTCAGCATAAGGAACGGTAGCGGGCTATTGTGAACACACTGATTAACCTTCAGCTATGGTCAAGAAGTTAACGTGGCTTCAAAAATAACATCTGTTGTAAAGAATGGGAATCACGTGAATGTAACATAAATACCCTCCAATGCTGCCAACATATCCTAGCGCTTCACGAAAGACCTGGGTTCGGTCAAAGGCTGGTTACACACGTTCGTATTTCTTATGTACCCGCTGGGTGGTCCGATCATGACGCGTCGTTGTGAGAAATGAGGAATTATTATGAAACACAGACGTTGATTCGGCAGTGAAGCAGTCTTTTGAGTGTTGGATCTCGCCACGAAGCCACCGTATCGGAAATGGTAGCCCATTGATTCAAATGAAAACGTTAACACGTAATATTGTACGGAGAATATGAACTGATAATTTTGCTGTTCTAAAACTGGCAGCGATCGATTGCGGCAACAATTGTTTTGCTGATACCGATGTCGCCACCGAGTGGTCTGAGTGTTTCTAACCAAACTCAGGACATTACTAATTCTTATGAACGCTAGAAACCAACAGTTATTGCATAATTAACTGATAGACTGATGAAATAGAACAGTTTTCATTCAATTATGCCAACGCTGATTACACGAATAAAAATCTGCCAAGCATATGTGGTTTTCCTGGTGCGGAAGCCACCGGCTACTTCCATTTGTGCTCACATGAATATCGTAAATACATAAAAGTAAATACCTATGTTGGCGTAACTGGATAACCACCCATACTATAAATCCCCGAATGTTAGAAGGACTGTATGTGGGCAGTAGGTTGAACAACTTAGTGTGGAAAACTGCGCGTTTGAAAAAGAAATCGCTAACAAAATTACTGTTTGGTATTTCAGGGTATATTTCACTATTATCAGAAGCTGTGAGTGTTTTATATAATTTGTCGGAGGAGTTTATTTTGTTTGTGACGCAGCGGCTCAAAGAAAAGTTTTTTTTGAAAGTATGTTTTATGATTGTTTATTGTCGAAATGATAGTGCTGTTTCATGTATTTTATATGATGTCACGCTTTATTCTGAGGGCAATACCTAAACCAGATTTCAATAAGGCTCAAGGTATTAATGACGAACAAAACACAGTTTCAAATTTCATTCACGGTGACAATTACACCATTCCTAGTGAGGCTGAATTTAGATCAGGAATAGGCATACAGTTTTTTCCTCCAGTTTACGTTCAAAGATATAATGCGGTAAAAAACATTTTACTGGATGAAAGATGGTGTGGGAAAATTAGAAAGGCAGGTTTGTTTTTATTACTCATACAAATTTTGGTACCAACAATCTAATACTGTTAGTAAATCCTGCTCATATTAGAGATTGTAATATGTACTGGCATGTTTAGGTTGTGGACTTTGGGTGTGCTGAATTTGGGATCTTCCCCTACGTGAAACACATTCCAGGACTGCAAGAGGTGTTATCAGTTGATATCGATCGTGAGATGTTGGAGCACTATTGCTGTCGAGTAGCTCCCCTTAATGTTGACTATTTGGTTACTCGAGAAGAGCCTTTAACAGTTCGTGTTTTAGTTGGAAGTATTGCAGATAGGGATTCTTCCCTATTAGGAGCAGATGCAGTAATATGCGTAGAATTGTAAGTGAACAAGGAATATAGAAACATAGCAGCTGACCATATGTATTGCATTGGACCTGTTTGTTATATACAAGGCTCTCTTGGTTAATGTAAATAAGAACAACATATATGTTTCAGGATAGAACATCTGTATCCTGATACATTGGAAGCTTTACCATACAATGTATTTGGCTTCATTAAGCCATTGATTGCCATCTTTACAACACCAAATTCAGACTTCAATGTGCTTTTCCCTGATTTCACTGGATTCAGGAATGCAGATCACAAATTTGAGTGGTCACGAGCTCAGTTCGAAGATTGGTACTGAGTTCTTGTTAAGTATTACATTTTAGTTATAAAGGCCTGTCTCTCAAACATCACTTTGCAGTGTGCTAAGTATCTGCTCAGTAAAATAGAGTTCATTCTACACTTTGAAAACATACTTCATTTTATATGTAGTAATAGATAATTTATGGCAATGATACTACTATATATTTATGTTAATACTCCATGGTCAAGTATATTAGAGAACACTACCAATTATATTGAATGCCATTATTATTTATGCCTTCATTCTGGGACAGAATATGTATGAAATATGTTAACTATGCAAATCATTATCACTTAGATTATGGATTGAACATCTAATTTAACAAATGTAGCAGCCTACCCCTCCCCCCTTTTTTGTGGCAGGTATTTACTTTGATTATTACTGTGTCTGTGATGACCTGTGGTCACTTCACTTGAAACGTATATCAGCATTGTAATGATATAGGTTATTTCACCATATACCATCATCTTCAGACCACATGTTGCAAAACAGTCTCTGCATCATTAGATAATTGCAGCACATACCTTAAAACTGATGATCAGGATATTCCAGTACTTGCAATTTAAACATCAAGACATTTTGTGTATTTGGTTATGTAACAGCAGTTTATTAACTGCAGAAGTTGTTTGGCCTCAAGTGAGATAGGTTTATTAGGACTCATGACTTGAGAGTGATTTTGAAGAAAATATTTATGGCCTAATTTAAAGGTCCTGTCAGGCATTACCTTGAACATCTGTTGTGCAGGATATGAATTCACTTCTGTTAACCAGGCAGATATCTGCCTCCTGCTCCCTTTGCTCATCAAGGAAGAATGTCTGAACTCATCAGATCTAGGTTTATTGCCAATGTGGATGATAATTTCTTTTACGGAAGATGGCTGTCTTCTGGGTTGTTGCACTGTGTAGTGTGGTAGAAGTTTACCTATGTTTCAGAGGTCCTTACTGCCTCAATCATCGCCCTGACCTCTGAAACGTCAGAAAACTTCTATCAGACTACACGGTGCAACAACCCAGAAGTCAGCCATCTTCAGACTGACTGGCGTGCAAACCTCAAATCCTACAATTTTTTTACTCTTAAGCTTTCTCCAAATTTGTTTCAAAAACTGCAAGAACTTTCAATTTTCTACATATCTGCAGTTCTGTTAGTTACAGTGATGACATTTCTGCTACTTGTGAATCAAATTTAGAATGATAATGTGACAAAAATGTTTTTTTATGTATTTGTGTAAAATCACAGAAATTTGATTAGCTGCTCTATGACTTCTGTTATAGTGCAGACTATTACTAAAAATGTTTGTTATGATTGTGTTTGAAGGGCAACTAACATCACAACACGATACCCAGCTTATATTGTTAAATTCCATGGTGTAGGTCAAGGACCCAAAGGAACTGAAATGTATGGTTGCTGTAGTCAGATGGCTGTGTTTGTCAGGTTACCAAATTACACTCCTGCTCCATTTGCTCAGCTGACATCTCAACATGAAGATCTGGAGGTGATCAACTATATTTGATATACAAAGTCCCTCACTTACAGTCCTGTTTATATAAAACAGTTAAATAAGAGGGAAGAAGCTAATTTAAAAAAAATTGTATAGTGCTTTTTCCTGGTTCCTCTTCTACAATATATATATATATATATATATTTATTCTTCTATATGATTGCAACAATGACACATGGAGCTGGACTATGTCTTAGTTTACTGCTCATGCTGAAAGTAGAGAAGTCTCGTATTTGCCTTGTAGGCACATAGACACCAACAGTATCCACGATGGAATGGCAATTTAGTTTGCCCTTGCCCTTAATAAGGAATAAAAAAGATGTCTGGAACAAAGTGTTCTAATAATATAATAGTATAATTTTAGTTTTCTGATAAGTTCCTTAACAGTTTTCACCAAATTGGTATGAGCGTGTAGAGATTTACAGTCATGAACAGACTTTATATCTCAATAAATTGTTGCATCAGCAAATAAGAACAATTTGGAATGATTAGCAGAAAGTTTACCAATAAAAACATTAAAGGAAGAGGTCCTTGTGGTATACCCAGCAGTACAGAGAAGGGTGAAGAAAACTTTCCTAAGATATGAACAAAGGAAAATCTATATGATAAGTAGCTTTGGAACAACTAATATAAAATGAAGATAGTCCAAAATTATTAAGCTTAACAGGTAATGATAATACAGTCTGTATCAAATAAGTTGGAGTAGCTTAGTATAGTGACTAAACTATAGAATGGTTGACTGCAGTTTCAGTCCCACAGGCTGGGATTTTTCTCATCAGCACAGCATAGCTTTCTACCTGGTAGATACTCGGATTCTCTGCTTGGGGTTAAATGACTGGGGCTTGAAGCTGACCACTCTCCTGCGTCTACTGCCAGGTTATAAGTATGGTGCTATACCTCCACACACCATATACCTGCATGGAGTGGTACTTGATTAAGCACCAGGGACAAATATACTTTTACCTTTATAATCTGTAACATATCTATAGTTGGAAGCAATAGAACACTGACTTTGCTAGGATTCTGTCATGAGTCCAGGATGCTAGCTGATGAGCTAAACTGCATTTTATCATGGAATTATAAATTTATACTATCTAAATAAGACACTTGACAACACAAGATTTAAAGAATTGGAATTCTTTAGTAAGAAACTGAGAAATGCTGGTTTACACTTGCACTTGAATGAATGTTAACATCAATTCTGACTCCACTGATACTTTTATCACTGCCTGAATCTGATCCATCACCAAGTACTTGCATGTACCTCAAATTCAAGTTAACAGTACACATGCTTTATTTAATGTAAAATCTGCCTTAGTATGTGTACTGTGCTATGCATAACTATCAAACAAACTCACTTCATGGAGTGGCAGCCTTCTTGAAAACTAATAGTTGTTTAGTTAGTCAAGAATTACTTTATTTATGACAGTCTGCAACAGAACCCACCCACATTCAATTATTAAGTTATTATTTAGTCTCTAGTAGCAGGTAATGTGTTAAGATCAGTACAAAAAATAAGCATTGTTTTGTGTCCTAAGGAGGAAGACAAGTATGTCACCATGCAGGAATACATATATCCAGTCTACGTGGATAATCGTACTAATGAGGAAAAAATTCTTCATAAAGCAGAATATTATATCCGGCTGTATGCAACTATAGAGGAATCTTACAATGATGTGAATGAAAAGATTCCACTGCGGCTTCTACTACCACATGTAAAAAGGTGGTGTACTTCACCATCAGTACTACGGTAAGTCAGTACAAGACCTGTATACAAAATATAAGGAAAACAGAATAAATATGCTCTTCAGCACTAAAATACATTATAATAATATCACCTTATATATCTGAGAAGATATTCTGTTGTTTCACTCTAAAGCTTGAGTGAAAGGTGTGAAGGTAGTTGTGTACAATTCAGCTAGCACATGCTGGTTTCTAAGTATTGTGAGAATTTAAGATTAAGTTTACAATGCACTATGTTAATACTCTTACAGTACAAAATATATTTCAAGTAATGTTTTGGACATTACTGTGTAAAATGTCATGTGCATATCATGCGGTTCGTTATATATCATGAAACAAAATTTTTGAAATCAGTGTATCTCTGTTGTCTGTTTTAGAAGAATAAGCCTTTATAAGAGTTGCATTGTTTTTAGAGTTTATCTCAAGAATTTTCATGATCACATGTTATTTATTCCACATTCTCATTTCAGCACCATTTTCTTCAACATCTTTCGTGCATTGCTTTACCTGGTCATTATTCATGTACTTTAAATACAATTTTTATATGTTGCAGTTATGGTTTTTATTTAATAGTAATATTTTTTCTGAAACATGTGATTCTTTTGTTATATAGGAGCATTCTGAAAGAAGCTGGGTGGGAAATTTTGGGTGAAACACAAGATGATGAGGCTGTACTTTATCCATGCTGTGGAGCGAGTGAGAGCTCTCTCCGTGAATCAGAGGATGTGCATTGTGAAGGACAGGAAGAGCTAGAAGCAAATCCACAGGAACCAGATCATTGGGAAGAGAATTGGAATAATGAACTACAACTTCCTTTTGGTTATGAGTGTGATAACTGTACATCATCTCAGTTTATGGCAGATATAAGCAGTGTTCAACAGGAATATTTGTCTGATGACGCCACTCAACCTCAGTTTGATGTGCATTTGCAAAGGGATGGAGATTTAGAAAGTTCAAATGATTCTTATAAAAACAGGGAAGATGATACCCATGCATCAAGTGATAGGTTAGAGTGTAGTGGTGGTGTCAGAAGTTACAAGTCTACTTACTGTATTCCTCTCAGGGATCACTCAAGTATTAATAATGCAGAAAATATAATCAAATCTACTTCAGAACATTCAAGTGGTTTTAGTACAAATCTGAATAGTACAGATGATTACGTCCAGTCACTGGCAGGATTGGAATCTGAACTTAGTGTTGAACAGGCATTCTCCCCATGCACAGGACATAGTGCCAACAAAGAGGGTATTAAGTTTTCAAAAGTGGGTCACATTTTTGCACCTATGAGTGCTGTATATGTTGAGTCATCACAGAAATTAGTTCTTGAAACATGTTCTAATAATGAGGCCTTAACAGATTGTAAGTCAGAAAAAAACAAAAAAATAGGGGGTATGTCATCATTGTGTTCCTTTCCTGAAGATAGCAGGGTATCTGGAGAACATCAGAAATCTCAGTATTTGGAACACCAGGTAACTACTGGCCAAGTAAAGGGTTTAAATGCAAGTTTATCAAGTGGCTGTATGGTACTGAATTCTGGTTCAAACAGATATACTGAAAAATTTAGTAATGTCAGTCAAAATGGTCACACAGAAGAAAGTTTATCTGTTGGATTGCCGTACCTTAATTCAAAGCGAGAAATAACTGATTGCTCTGCTTCACAAACAGTAATCAATCAACCTTTGAATTTTGGTAGTGGCAGTTCCTCTATGCAGGAATCATCACAGGACCGAAGTTTAGTTGAAAGCTGTAGTTTGGATGAGCAGAATGATAAGGCTGCAGACAGTGGTTACCCAAACTCATTCTCAGTACAGGACATGGATATGGACCTAACTCCTGAACAGGTTGATGAGATTGTAACAGAAAACCACGATGACTCTGAATATGATGATTCGGAATCAAGTGGGGAGAATGATCATATTGAAAATAATGATGGACTCATGTTTCAGTTTCATCATGAGGCTCTGTATAATCCTATGGGTCTTGTAGTTGAGAATGGAGATCTTGCAAATAATAATTGTGACGGAGAGGGGAATAATGCCGTGGCAGTAATTCAGCCCCTTCATGAACCAGATGAAATTGTTCC